CACATTATCTTTGTTGGGTAGTATGTTGTCTTCTAGAGATACAGGTGGACAATCTCCTTTTTTGAGGGCAAAAGTTATGTGTACCGACTTAGTCACACTTGCTCTAATCCTCCATTTCTTTAGCCGGATACTTATTTCGTCTAGCCCTTTTTGGAGAATATTAGATGCTACAATCGAAAATTTATTGCTGGCTAATATGGCAGTGTCATCGGCAAAGGTTGCTGTAGTAACGCCTGTTATTGTTGGCAAGTCTGCAGTATATATTGTGTATAACACTGGTCCCAGTACAGACCCCTGAGGTACACCTCCTTTAATTTCAAATAATTCTGATGTTTCACTCGATTCTTTCACCTGAGATATTCTGTCTTCTATGTAAGATTGTAATAAAGGGTGATAACTGTGAGAGAGACAGTTTTTTAATTTGCATAGGAGGCCCTCGTGCCATACTTTATCAAATGCCTGTTGAATGTCAAAGAAAGCTGCTGAACAAAATTCTTTATTTTCCAGCGCCTTTCTGATTTCCTCTGTTACTCGATGCACCTGTTCTACAGTAGAATGGTTTTGTCTAAAACCAAATTGATGATCTGGTATTGTTTTATTTGCCTTAAGAATGGGAAGTATTCAAGTATGATTCTTTCGCATACCTTCGACAGTATTGGTAAGAGGCTGATGGGTCTGTAGGATGACACTTCGTTTGGTGGCTTGCCGACCTTAGGAATCATAACAATTTGGGATACCTTCCACATAGTGGGAAAATGTTGTGTTCTGAATATACCGTTATATAGCGTGGTGAGGAATACTACAGCTCTTTTGGGCAAATTTGTTAATATTTCCTTTGTAATAAGATCGAAACCAGGAGCCTTCCGATCATTTAAAGCTTTAATTGTCGACCACACCTCTTTAACGGTAACTGGTTCCGGTGGTAACGACATCTGGTACGGTTGATCAAGAACATTATCCACATATGTATTCGATTCTTGATTGTTTGTAGCGTTTGGTGAGAAAACATTAGCCAGATGATTGGCAAACAAACTTGCTTTTTCTGTTGCACTTTTAGCTCAACTATTGTCCCTTTTTCTTAAGGGAGGTTTACATTCTTGAGGTCCGTTTAGTGTCTTGGTAAACTTCCATAGTGAGTGGCCAGTGGATCCATTAGGAGCAAGTGATTCCAACTTTGCTTCAAGTGTAGTGTCGTGCCAATCTTTAAGTAGTGTTCTCAGTTCATTTCCCTATTTATTCAGTTTACGCCTATCGTCACTGTGCCTGCTCTGTTGCCATATGCGCCGAGTCCTTCTCTTTTCTAGTACTTTTTGTTTTATTTCTAGTGGTATGTTAGCGCAATGGGGGTTTTGTACTACAGTAGGAGTAGTTTTCCAACAAGCTTCCTGAATCAATGTTGTAATGTGTTTTGTTGCTTCCTCTATTTCTTCCGGAGATTTCAGGGACATTTTCATGTTTAACTTATCATTGACATATTCACGAAATGAGTACCAGTCAGTCTTGGTATTAGAGAGTTGTGGCGGTCTTTCGATTTCAATAACCATGGTGCTAGCTGTTAGCAATACAGGAGTGTGATCCGATGAGGTGTCTAGACAAGATTCCGGTTTGAAATAGTGGTGAGACAATCCCTTAATGATAAAAAAATCCAGGAGGTCTGGAATCTTTTTTAAGTCTGTGGGCCAGTAGGTTGGTTCGAACGTAGATATGGTACGTAGGTTGTTTGCCGTAACGCTGGATAGTAGTTGTCTACCTCTTGTTGTAATAAGTCTGGAACCCCAGGAAGTATGTTTCGAGTTCCAGTCTCCACCAGCCACAAAGCGACCACCAAGGGAACTGAAGAATTCGGAAAACATATCTTCTGTTATTTTATGTTTTTGGCGGACAGTAGACGGCAACGACGTTGAAGTATCCACAATGGTCTTCAATCGCGACTGTGGTAGCCTGTATATGGTTCTTCTTAAATTCTGGTAGTGGGTGATGTTTAATGGTTTCCCGTATTATGACTGCTGTGCCTGCGTGCCCTGTTCCATCCGGGTGATTGGTCGTGTACGTACGGTATCCACGGAAATTAACTTTAGATGCATTAGTACAATGAGATTCCGAGATGAGGATGATATCAAGGTTTTGCTGTCTTATTAGTAAGTCGACTTCGTTTTTGTTCGGTGATAAGCCATTTACGTTCCATGTTGCTATACGCAAGGATGCCATTAAGACAGTTTGGTTATCAGTGTGGTTATGAGCTGCATGAGTGTGCCCATTTGTTGTAGGATTATTTCGAACTTTTCGGATTGTTTTATGAGTATCTTTTCTATTGTGGTCATCTGAGCCTCTGAGCTTTGAGATTTATTGTTGTGATCTTTCTTTGTCTCCCACTTTGTTTGATTTTTCGTTTCTGCGGCAGATTTCACTTTCTCATTGTGGGTATGTAAAACCTTAGCGTATGTTGTAGGTCGGGATTCTGAATCTCCATTATATTCAGGGATAGGGTTCAGTGCAATTTTCGGCTTTCGTAGAGGTGGTGCCACTTTTCTTGAGAGGATTTCACGGTATACCTCACAGCCTTTATAATTAGCTGGATGGGCGCCGAAACACAATGCGCATTTAGCCGGAGTGTTTCTGTCTTTCTTGGTGCAGTCTGACGTTTTATGTTGTTGAGCGCATTTAACACAGCGGTGTGGCCTCATGCAATTGTTTTTCGAATGACCATACTGCTGACATCTTTGGCATTGGACAATCGTTTTTTTCTTTTTCGGATCTTCTATGACAACTGCCTGGTGGTAAACATATTTTAATTCTTTGACGGCCTTGTTATTAGGTCCTGGTAAGAGATTAACAAAGAATGTTGACGTGGGTTTTTTTTCCGGGCCATATCGAGCATTAATGATCTCTCCCGCTACCGAGTTCCCTGTACTTTCAATTGCTTCTACTATTGCATTTGTGGGAGTTGAATGGTGGAGATTTCGAATCACTATTCTGTAGTTCCTCTGATCTTTTCTGGTAAAGGTATGTCCTATAAGCCCCTTTTCACGGATTAGTGAAATAAGATTTTTATATACTTCCACCTGAGTGCAGCTAACTCTCATTTCGTTTTACTATTTTGTAGGTGAATTGATCCCTTTCAGCAACACTTTCTAGTAATTCTGTGAGTTTGCCAACATCTTCTACACCATACAGGATAATTGGAGGAGGCTTGCTTGGTTTTCTTTCTTTGATTTGTCCTTCCTTGTCTTTAATGTCTATGGGTAAGACACCAAATCTATTTGAAATCCTTACTTCTTCGGGAGATGGAGTTTGGGTTATCTTTTTTCTTTTAGGGTTTCTAACTACTGGTATTCTTTGCCATTCCGGAGGTTTATGGGTTGTGAGCGGATGCTCGTCAATTTCAAGATCCGAGTCTATATTCAAGGTTGTAGGTGGTGAGGTCGGTGGTAGATCACCTCTTGGCAGGTTTCCTGTAGAGTTGCTTCTAGACCTGCTAATAAACAGGCCAGGATGGAAGGCCTGTTGAATCATTCTTCTATTTTGTTGCAACTTAGTATTGTATTTCGAGTGTCCAATGATTAATTGCAGGTATTCTTTCTTATTACTATTGGATCATCTTTGGACCAAAATCCAAAGATCACCCTTTGGTTATACACAGAAGTCATCAGGCCCTCTATAACCTATGGTTCAGTTGTTTGGTGGCCCAGGACCCAACTGACCGCAGTGAAATCCAAACTCCAAAGTCTACAACGCTTGGCGAGCGTAGCAGCAAGTGGATGCATGAGAACAACTCCATCAGCTGCATTAGAGTACCTCATGAATTTAAGACCATTGGACCTGGTCATACAAGAAGAGGCGAAAGCAGCAGCCTTAAGACTAAAATCTCTAGGATTATGGAGATTAAATACTGTAACAACACACTCCAATATTCTATAAAAGTGCACGAAGGAGATACCACTCCTGGAGGCACCTATGGATAGAGTATTGAGTCAACACGTCTTTGATCGAAGATACAACATCCAACTTACCGCGGAAAAGGCAGATTATTCTGGCGCCGGGGTAGTTAGGATATACACGGATGGCTCCAAAACCAACAGTGGTACTGGAGCCGGTGTCTTCTCAAACGACCTGAATATAAAAATATCTACAACCTTTGGCAAACAAAGCACAATCTTCCAGGCGGAATGTATTGGCATTACCAGAGCGGCACAGGCGGTTGCAGCCAGAGATATCAGAGAGTATAACATCAAGATCATCTCTGACAGTGCTTCAAGCCCTACGTAGCAACACAATAAACTCTGTCCTAGTAATGGAGTGACACAAGGCACTTCAATCCATTGTGGTTAGCAACACGGTAACTCTGCAATGGATAAAAGGACACAGCAGCTCAATCGGAAATGACGCAGCAGACGAACTGGCTAAGAGGGGAGCAGACACAAAAGTGTATGGTCCGGAACCTTAGCAACCCATACCTCAGGCCCAAATTAAAACGTGGCTAAAAATAACTCAAAAATCACACTTGAGGGAGTGGAAAACAGGTGAAGGATGCCGGCAAACGAAAATCGCGGTTCCGGCGGCAAATAAAAGTTTTGTCCGCACCCTTACCAGACTAAATAAGGACAAACTTTGCAGGATTATAGGATCCCTCACTGGTCATTGTCCCCTAAACAAACACCTATATACAGTAGGAGTAACGGACATCCCCCTATGCAGAGGATGCATGGAGGCAGAAGAAACGCCACAGCATGTCATCATGGAATGCAGGAGTGTGGCCGACCAACGGGCACAACTTCTCCAGTCACCAGAATCGTTTCCAGAAGCTTGCAGCAGTCTACCAAGATTGCTTTCCTTCTGGACCGATATAGGCTGGCTGGATTAAACTGGAATGTTTTTGAGACACGCACAATGGTCCAATAATTAAGACTAAGTGCGGAAACCGCCCTGAAGAACTAACTAACTATTGGATGAAAGAATATTATTTAAAGCATATACATATATTAATAAATAATGTAACATACCATCCTCTAACAATAATCCAATAGTAACAACTGATTCTTGTCTCCTCCTTTCTGTTTCAACCATTTCAAGAGTTGCTTTGTTAGGAAGATTAGAAAATCTAACTGTTGTTGTTAAATCAATGATATGGTTATGATGCTTCAAATCATAATCACTTGCTTCAAAACCTTGTTTTTGACAAACATTTTCTAAAATCTGTAAACATAAGTTATATTTTCCCTTGATACAGAGTATACAATACCTAAGTAGGTACCAATAAACTATGCTTTATTCTCATCTTTTGGATAATAATAAAAAAATAATCAGAATTTACGGTGGACCAGAGCCATAATAGTGTAATAAAGTTAGTGTACCCTTAAGTTTGTAAATAAGTTACCTGTAATATGCTGGTGTCTGGGGTACAGTGTACTTTCTGTCTTCTTCCATTAGGAGTCAGGACAATAATATCTTTAGACATGATTATGCTGTAAAATTATTAACTTTCCTTTATGAACCTGCAGTTTCAGGGAAAAGATAAACACATTAGAGGCTAGTACTTCATCTTTTGTGAGGTTTTAGTTTAAAGAATTTTGAAATATAACCAGTATTCCATGTAAAATCTGGATCAAGCGAAATTTGTCTGGTAAAATTTTGTGTAGATTTAAACCAGCACATAATCAAGTACTTAAAAAAATATATTACAATTTTAAAAACATAAAAAACAGATATTACTTATTGGGTAGTTAATATTGTGATTCCAATAAAAACATCTTTCAGGTTGATGTTTTGGCAGAAATACCATATTTGCCTAGGCAGAGAGGGGCATCCCTGAATCTAGCAGTGGAGGTCTAATTAAATCGCGGTGGTAAGGTGGATTTTGTTGGGAAAATGGAAACTGCGTGGAGAATTGTTGGCCTGCTAGCAAAGCAAATAATATATCTTCATTGAAATGTATAATCTTATAATAAAATGTGAGCGTCCCAGACAGTACATACCTAATTGAAATCAGTTAATCAATTTTTATTATGAACCTTTATAATTTGCTAAAAATTCTTTGTTATTGTTAGATTTTCCACAACTTTTATCACCCGTATATAATGATTTGTAGGATTGACTTTTTGAGTGCTGACAGATGTCATGATAAGATTGTCAAATTGACATATCGAATTTCCGTACGTTAAATCAATACAAAAGATTCATTTATGATATTCGTATCAAAAACGATATTTTGTTTATCTATACTAATATTATAAAGAGGAAAGGCTTGTATGTAAGTATGTTTGTAACGAATTGGCTCAAAAAGTACTTTGATCGATTTTAAAAATTCTTTCACCATTTAAATGCTACATTATCACTGATTGATATAGGCTATAGTGTATTTTCAAAAAAGTTAGGAAAACTTCGATAATGTGACCCAACGTGTGTAAAAAATACCAAAAAATAGCCTCAAATCGCGTACGCTGCGGAAGTATACTAAAGTTTTTTAAAGGATACCAATACTTATCTACAAAAAAGTCCACGATACCATATGTCTATTACAGTTAAGTCACAACTAGAGGTCTCCTGCGGTTTCACCCGATGATAATTTGAAGACAAATGTTTATATGGTGGTAGCGCACATCTATATGTTTACTGCGCGCATGGTAAACAGCATTTCCTGAAAGACTAATCGCACTTTGATTATCGCAGTAAAGAGTGATAGGTGTATCTTTAAATACAGGTTGAAATTCGTCTGCCAATTGTTTCAGCCAAAGAGCTTCCTGAATGGCCGACGCTAGAGCCATATATTCAGCCTCACTTGTAGAGAGGGCTATGGTCTGCTGTTTCTTAGAATTCCAGCTTATTGCGGCACCCTGGAATAAAAATATGTAGCCCGTACAAGACCTCCTATCTTCAGTATCACTGGCCCAGTCTGAATCACAATAGCCCGAAATTCTTCCATCAGTGTTTTTCTTATAAACCAGTTTCATGTTCATTGTAGCTTGCAGATAAGTACCTCATGACACGTTTCAAAGCCACCCAGTGTTGATTAGTATGTTGACTATTGTATCTACTTAAAGAATTCACCATATAGGTAATGTCTGGTCGAGTACCCTGTGATAAGTACAGTAAGCAGCCAACTATTTCTTGAAATGGTATGTTCTTTAAAATTTCTTGTTCACTTTCAGCCTTCTTCAGTTTAACATTAGCATCCGCAGGTGTCCACATCGGCTTACAATTGTTCATTTCAAATCGTGTGAGTATCATTTTTATGTAAATAGATTGATCAATAGAAATCTCATCTTCATCTTGTGTAATGCTAAGACCAATGCAATGTTTGGCTGTTCCTAAATCCTTCATAAAGAATTTTTCCTTAATTTTTTCTTTTATCATTTGTGAGGTTTTCTCATTATTAAAAAAACAAAGCAAATCATCAACATACACAGCTATAAAAAACATATCATTTTCATTCAAAATGCGGTAATAGACACATGGATCTATGTTTGAACGAGCCATTCCAATTTCTAACAAGGCAATATTTAATTTTTTGTTCCATTGTCTGCTGGCCTGTTTAAGTCCATATATTGACTTGTTCAATCTACATGCTTTATTTTCCTCTCCATAGCCAGGTGGTAAGGACATGTAAATTTCTTCATCAATTTCACCCTGTAAAAATGCCGTGACTGCGTCCATTTGCTGTATTTTAAGTCCATATTTGGCAGCAAGACCAATCAGGTATCTTATGGATGTATAACGGACCACAGGAGCGTATACCTCATTGTAGTCTATGCCTTTGACTTGTTTATATCCTTTGATCACCAGTCTCGCTTTATAGCGTGTAATAGATCCAGTGCCGTCCAACTTGGTTTTATAAACCCATCTACTAGGAATAACTGAATTTCTTTTTGGTAAATCAACCAGTGTCCACGTATTATTTTTTATCAATGACTGATATTCTTCGTCCATGGCTTTCTTCCACTCTTCTGCTTTTTCACTGCTGAGAGCCTCCTCAAGACTTTGTGGATCGTTGCTTAATAAATTAATGGTTGACTCAATATTCTGACATAATAGCGATGAGGGACTTTGATCAACATCATTGATTTGGTCTCTCCTTTGTCGTGGTCTCAAAGTTATGTTAGATATTTGTGGAGAGTCAATAGTTATATCAGGTACGTACGTCTCATCGTTTACATCTTCAAATTGATCAGACTCATCTGAAGCAGGATTTTGATGTACATCCTGTGTTACTCTATTATGAATTTCATTATCAATATTTTTTTTCACAGGTTCATCACACAGAGGTAAGTATATCATCTTCTTTTCTTTTTCTTTGTAACAATTTTCTTTAGTATTTTTATTTTCCTCTATCTCTATGCTATTTTCAATAATTTCCGTTTCTTTTTCAGGTATATTATCTACTTTATTTCTTTTAATTGAAGCTTCTAGAAATACTACATCCCTACTTATAACTCCTTTTTTTGTTACAGGATCTATGAATCGGTAGCCTTTTGTGCTGTCGCTGTAGCCAACAAATATTAGCTTACGTGACTTAACATCCAGCTTAGTTCTGTTTTCTTTAGGAATGAGCACCATTGCAGAACATCCAAATATTCTCATGTGTTTCAGATTCGGCTTCTTTCCAGTCCAGACTTCATGAGGTGTAATATTAGATAGAGTGCAGGTGGGAGATCGGTTCACAATATATGCTGCTGTAGCTATCGCTTCTGCCCAGAATGTGACCTGCAACTCTGAATTTATAATCATGCACTTAGCACGCTCTATTAAAGTTCTGTTCATTCTTTCACTGAGACCATTCTGCTCAGGTGTGTATGGATTAGATGTTTGGTGCAGAATTCCATGTTTCTTCAAGTAGGCTTCAAAATTATTATTTTTATACTCGGTTCCATTGTCGCTTCTCAATATTTTTATTTTTGTACCCAATTCATTTTCTACCCTGTTCTTAAATTGCACAAATTTTTCAAATACTTCACTTTTGTTTTCTATAAAATATACTTGTACACGTCGGGAAAAATCGTCAGTAAAAGTTACGAAATATCTTGCTCCTCCTATAGAAGTGTGTTTCATCGGTCCACATACATCGCTGTGGATAATCTCTAGCAAACTGGTTGCACGTGAGCCTTCATTGGGGAATGGTTTTCTGGTTTGCTTGCCTTCAAGACAGGTTACACAGGTGGAATTTTCTGGTCTTGATGACAGCTCTACACCCTCTGTACATTTTGATAATTTTGTAAGCGAAGTAAAATTTAAGTGACCCATCCTTTGATGCCACAGATAAATATCATCATCAGCCTTAGCCATCATGACTTGCATTTCTTGATTTTTACAAGTATTTAACAGATATGTCTCGTTAATTAATTCAGCTTTTGCAACTAATTTATTGCGCGAATTATAAATTTGACAGCCATAATCATTGAACGTGACTTTATTTCCACCTTTAATTATTTTACTGACTGACAACAAATTTGTTTTCAATTCTGGTACATATAAAACATTCCTCACCTGTATTGAATCGGTGCTGCCATCTATTGCATATACATTGATACATACATTACCGCAGCATTCAACCTTTAATACTTTGTTGTTAGCAATTCTTATGTACGGTACAGATGAAGGAGTGATATCAGTAAGCCAGTCCCGGTGCATGGTCATGTGCATGGACGCCCCTGAGTCAACATGCCAGAAGTCGGAGTCATTTGCTGTGGATGCTGAAAAAGCAGCGACATATCCTGTATTTTTATCCTTTTTACTGTCTGTGTTTTTATCATAACTTTTCTTCTTGTTCCAACAATACTTGCTGAGATGTCCGTATTTATTACAGTTAAAGCATCTTGGGCCTTTCTTATCGGGTTTGAGCTCTTGCTTCCTTTTTGTGTTTGTATAAAGTGCGGTAGTGTCTGAAGTCTTTACTTCCTGTAGCAATTTATTTTTTACTAAATCGGCACTAATCTTCATACCGGAACTTTCTAAACCCATCATCATAGGCCTGTATATTTCTGGCAATCCTGCCAACATTAAAGTGCCCAACCACTCATCGTCTACATTAAACTTTATATTTCGTAATTTGTGCGCGGCTGTCATGATTTTGTTTACATAGTCTTCAACAGATGAACTGCTTTCCAAATTGGTATTAATAAGTTCTTTTAATAAACCAACTTTTCGAGTTAAACCACTGTCTTCAAATGCCTTTGCCAAATTGTCCCATACCTGTTTTGCATTTTGGGCTTCTTGTATGTGTACATATAAAATCGGGTCAATTAAAAGAATTAACTTGGACTTAGCTTTGATGTCTTGTCTGACAGAGTCAGGATCAGTAGGATTTGGTTCTTTTAACACATAGCTATATAAATCTTCGTGTTGTAGGTAGGCCTTGACCGCAAAACTCCAAATTGCCCAATTATCACGACCCGTTAATTTCTGAATTGACATCAATGAATTATTTCCAGACATATTTCTATTCATTTCGTATTTTTTTACTTCAATATAATATTTAGCTGAAAAATAAAACACACTCGCGAGCCCGGTAACTAAGTGAGTATAGTTATACTTGCGACTACTACTTGTAATTACTGACCAAAATACAAAAATAACTTTTTACGGCAGGCTTGGGACGGCCCATAACCTGATGAAATGAAAGCAAGGACAATTTAAAGAATAAGACTATATATTTTATATAATTAATTTACACAACGGATGACAGTGCACAAAAAAGATGAGCAAAGAGAGTAACACCATCATAGAGATTAGCGTAGGCGTTCATACTTCTCAACATGAGTCCATATAAACATTTCATTCAGAAAATTAAACGGAAATATTACGAAATTTGGAAAGGATCAGGATTGTAAAAAATACATATATATATTTACATTTAAAGTTTTATATTATTGAGCAAAAGAAGAGATATAATACATTTATACACAGATAGGTCATTAGTATGTAGAAGTGTAGCTATATTGGTCGGGAACGGTAAAAAGTAAGAAAACACAATGTGATCAACATTTCCCTCATCGAACCCGCAGTATCATTTATCAGTATCGCCTAGGATCATTTATTACCTATAATGAGTTTGGCAAGATGGGAAGGCCTCAGACCAAATAAAAAGTAAAGACGGAGTCTGCCGAAC